CTTACCCTCCCTCTTCTACTGCCTCCTCCTGGCTGAATGAGGGCCGGAAGCGGGGCAGCCGGAAGCAGGGGGCGAGGCTTCGTCATGTGCCCCGCCCCCCATACCTCACCCGGGGGGAACTGCGATCCCCAGCGATTCCCCCTGAAATGACCTCTGGAAGGGACCTTGCAGGTCAACCCCCTGCACTTTGCAGGAGCATAGCTGAAAGATAGCCCTTATACCTACAACATACCCGAAAGATGGTCGTCCAGCAAAGGAGCATCCACCACCTCCCGAGGCAGACTGTTCCACTGCTCAACCACTCTTACAGTATTTAGCCGGTAATGACTCCCTTGTAATTTCCACCTATTAGATCTAGTCTTGCAATCTGGAGGAAGAGAGAATAGATCTGCTCCATCTTCTACATGACAGCCCTTCAAATACTTGAAGACTGCAATCATGTCCCCTCTAAGCCTTCTCTTTCCCAGGCTAAACAGACCCAACTCTTTCAGCCATTCCTCATAAGACTTGGATTCCAACCCTCTCACCATCCTGGTTGCCCTCTTCTAGACACGCTTGAGCTTGTCAGCATCTTTCCTAAAATGTGGTGCCCAAAACTGGACACAGGACTCCGGGTGAGGTCTGACCATGGCAGAATAGAGCGGAACTACCACCTCCCGTGTTCTGGACACAATGCTTCTGTTAATGCATTCTATTTGAAAATGTAATCCAGGGAACCATAAAATAAAGTGTCAGTTCCAGCATCTCCTCCGTGGCACAAATGTCAAAATCGGGGCACTTTACGCCTTCCGTGATGCTTGTCAACATGTTCATAAATTCAGAAGCGCTTCTTCTTTCCAGAGCTCCGAGACCTGCCGCGAGACATCTTTGCAGCTGACCCAAGCGTCGCACGTCAGACTCCAAGTTACGAAGCTCTGTATAAGTGCAGGAAGTGCAGGTATGGAGCTCCATAAACCTGACCTGGAATTAAATTTGTTTCTTGCTTTGGTTGCTGATTCCTGTCCGATGGTGAGGAGATTCAGTCTTGTGACCAGAGTACAGGCCCATAGCTATGGTGGGGCTTTTGGGGGCTCTGCCCCTTTTTAAAAGGCACAGCCCCACAAGAATTTCTCCTGTAAATGGTTTTTCAATCATTTTAAAACTTTTTTTTAAAGACTTGTGCTCCTTTAAGCGGAGTGGGGTGCTGTAGTTGACGTCCACACTGAGCCAGGGGGTTGGAGTAGGTGACCTCTAGGATCCCTTCAGACTCTGTGTCAAGAAACTGGTCTCCTTTAAGAGAGTTTTCCTGCCTTAAGTGTGAGCTTTCTTGACTATAGAAGTCATCACCCCCACCTGCTGGCACGTTATTGGAACGGTTGCTTAGGCTGGCAGGAGTGATTAATTTGCAGCAGCCGAGAACTGTCATCTAAAGTGGTTGAGAGTGTGCAATTTAGAGATCTATCCTGGTACCAGCTTTCTATTGGCTAAATGGCTTTTCTTTCTGCACTGCGAACTTCAGCCATACCAGGAAGAAATTTGCCCCAAAAGCCACAAAATCCTGGCCGCGGGCCTGCCAGAGTATACAAGGACTTCCACTTTGGAGGAAGCGGTGGCACTTTTTTTACATCAATATTTTTGTCGGCTTGGGCCAGGTGACATTGGATTCGAACCATTAGCACTTCTTCATAGTTTTTTCCCCAAAAAACAGAAATAAAATTTGGACAGTCACCACAAAGAAGATATGTGTTTTCTAAAATAATTTTCAAATCTGGTAAGATATTTTTAAGGGTCAGAGGGGAAGTATTTGAGATAATCAGATACTGTTTTTTTGTTTGTTTGAAGGTGTTCTCCTGGCACTGCTAAGAGTACTTGCTTGATGCTCTAATACCATAAATATTCAAAATTAGGTGTCTTATTTTTTTTTTTACAGTAAATTTTTTATTTATTATTCAATAAAAGTACAAACATGAAATTCAAGTCTGAAAATTGTACAGACTTATGATAGAATGTATAAACAGTAAAGGATAATATATAGTGCACTTTCTCATCAGAAACAACGATGAGTGTGGTTGAAGAATAAATGATGAAATTTGTCATCTCTTAACATGTAGGTATTAAGAATATAGAGAGACTAAGAGAAGTGACTGGAAAAGATTAATTAACATTGCCATAGCCATAGGTCGTCAATCACTTTAGGAGTGTCACTTTGTTTGGAAAGGTATTCTAATATGGGAAACCAGGGCTCTTTTTGTAGAAAAAGCCCAGCAGGAACTCATTAGCATAATAGACCACACCCAACAGCAAAACTCATTAGCATATTAGGCCGCACCCCTCATGACACAGCTCATTAGCATATTAGGCCGCACCCCATGTTACCAGAAGTGTAGTCATCCAGCCACACCCACCTTTTGCTTCTTATTCTGTTTACCCTGTTTGTTGTCAAAACCCAGGGCTTTTTTTGTAGCAGGAACTCCTTTGCATGTTAGGCCACACACCCCTAACGTAGCCA